TAGAGACAGAATTAGAGGAAGAAATTGTCAAAGGAAATATGATAGCCTGGAGTAGGAATATAGGACATAGTATCACTTTAACAGAATGGGAGAAGCTCTGGAGTAGAAATAACAAAATCACAAAATTGGCAGCATACAAGGAAAATGCCTGTAAAATGTATTATAGATGGCGCCTTCCCCCTGCAAGATTAGCGAAGATGCACCCCAACATGAGTCCGAATTGCTGGAAATGTAAAAAAAGGAGGGAACATTCTTCCATATGTGGTGGTCTTGTACAGAGGCTCAGAAATATTGGCAGAAAATTAGAAAATGGTTGGAGGAAATGACAATAGAACAGATCAAATTGGCTGTGTTATCATTTCTTGATTGGTTGATGGAATTGATGTTTTCAGATTGGCTGGCTTTTTTGTAAGAACATGTGTGGCTGAGGTATTGGCTATGTGTCTATTAGCCTCCTGTGTTGTAATGACCTGGGTAATGGGCTGTGTGATGACCTTCTGAATTCTATTGTTTTGACATCCTGGGTCTTGTGCTGTAATCGGCACTGACCAAAATATAGCCAACATCCTAAGAAACCCCAAAGACAAGATCCAGCTAGAAAACCAAGGAGTTTATGAAATACCATGCAACAATTTCCCAGCCACATACATTGGACAAACCAACAGGAGAATAAATGCATGCATCACAGAACACAAGAACGCAGTCAGAAAAGAAGAAAATACTTCCTCCCTTTTCCAGCATCTTAAAGCCACAGGACATGAAATTAATTTTGAGGGAACCAAATTAATCTCCAATACTGAACACTTCAACAAAAGAATAATCAGGGAAGTCATCAAAATAGAGAAACACCCCCATAACATGAATAAATGGGATGATACCTCCTGCCTTCTGGAAACTAGCCTTTATAACAAATGAGTCCCAGCCATGAAAACCAACACCAGACCCAAAACAACACATGATGCCACCACCATTCTCCCTCACCAGAATCAAACCCAAACCCACCCCATAGACAAAAGGCAACCACCGTCCAGAAACTAGACCACAGCTGCATCACCAGTTGCCACACACCCTGACCTCCAAACCAAGCAAACTGACACACACCATGAACACATAGCCAGGCCTCAAACTGGGAGCCAAATCAAAACCCAGAACATCACATCACAGCCACCTGCTCAGGATATCACATCACAAAACTCAGGAGGTTACAACACAGCCAACAGCCCAGGAGATTACAGCACAGTAGGATGCCACAACAATAGAACTCAAAAGGTCATCACACAGCCAGGTCATTATAACACAGGAGGCTGATAGACACATAGCCAATACCTCAGCCACACATGTTCTTAGAAAAAAACCAGCCAATCTGCAAGCAGGCACTGGCACGAAGCCGAAAGCACTAGCCTGAGGATGGCGAGTTGGACTTCGCCAAAACGTCACCAAGATGCTCTTAATCTTACACGGGAAAAGACCCGTACATACCTAGACCGACCGACCGACCTACCTACCTACCTACCTACACACACACACACACACACACACACACACACACACACACACACACATAGCATTCAGCTTTGTTCGGGTATTTTCCCACGTCATTGTAGTTGTGCTTTTAAAGTTGTAGCAACGTTTCAGCAGAATCTCATCTGCCATCATCAGGCTTCTGTATTGTGTTCCTCTGTGAGTCAGATTTTATAGTGGTTTCAGTTTTAAATTTGGGGCAGCCTATTGCTGTGGCAGAATGGTTTTTTCTTCATCCTGTTTGGTTGGGAATCTAGGTCTGTGTTTATTGGTCTTGGAGTTTGCTGTGTTCTGCTTGATTGGTGTTTCTAATATCTTCTGTCTGTTTAGTGGCTCTTTTTTGTCTTGATTGGTTGGCAACATTGTGTTCCTTTATTGGAGGCCTTTTATGCAGCTTGGCTCTAGGTAAATGGACGGCTATCATTAGTTAGGAAGCTAGGTTTCATCTGGGTGCCTGGTCGGGGTGTGTTTGAGCTGGAGGTATCAGCGGGGATCTGTTTGTGCCCAGGTATTTGCCTGGCTAGTGGTGTGGAGATTTTTTTGTTTGTGAGTGCAGGTTTCCAAATGATTGACAGTCTGGTGGAATCATCTCTTTTATTCATGCTTTCAGGTCTTTTTTCAATAGCTATGGCTTCTCTGATAATTCTGTGGCTGTGATTTTCTATAGTGGCTAGGGTTTTGGTGCCATTGAAGTTAATGCTATGACCTGTGGCTTCCATGTGTTGGACTAGTGAGGAAGTGTGTTCCAGCTTTTTGACTGCATTTTTGTGTTCATCCAGGTAGGTACTTATTCTTCTATTGGTCTGTCCAATGTATGTGGCCGGGCATGATGCACAGGGGACTTCGTATATGCCTTGGTTTTCCAGGTCAATTTTATCTTTGGGGTTTCTAAGAATGGCTGCTATTTTTCTGTCTGTTTTGAAGGCAGTCTTGATGTGTAGTATCTTACTAATTTCGTCTGTACTACCTGTTATGTAGGGCAGGACAGCTGTTGCCTAGGTCTGTTCATCTTCTGGGTCTCTATTATGTCTCAGTGTGTTTTTGTGGATCAAGCCGGTGATTTTGCTTTTGTGGAAGCCGTTGGCTGTCAGTATTTTAGCATCAACACACACACACATGCACACACACACACACACACATACATACATATACATATACATATACATATACATATACATACACACACACACACACACACACACACACACACACACACATATATATATATACACATACATATATACAAATATAAAAGCACAGATATAATGTAGTATATATGTATATATGGCATTCGGCTTTGCTCGGGTATTTTCCCACATCATAATAGCTGTGCTTTTAAAGTTGTAGCGACGTTTCAGCAAAATCTCATCTGCCATCATCAGGCTTCTGTATAGTGTTCATCTGGTGATGAATGAACACTATACAGAAGCCTATACAGATGAACTATACAGATGAACACTATACAGAAGCCTGATGATGGCAGATGAGATTCTGCTGAAACATCGCTACAACTTTAAAAGCACAGCTACTATGACGTGGGAAAATACCCGAGCAAAGCCGAATGCCATAGATGTAAGTACCCGCGAAAACTGCCATCATCAGGCTTCTGTATGATGGCAGATGAGATTCTGCCAAAATGTTGCTACAACTTTAAAAGCACAACTACAATGGCATGGGAAAATACCCGAACAAAGCTGAATGCCATACATATAAGTACCCGTGAAAACTTAAGAAAAAAAAAATCTATATCTATATCTATAGATAGATAGATAGCTATATATTTGCATCAAGGATTAATTGTACATATGGCATAAAATAAGGTTAAAAGTAAGGTCCCCCAAACTGTCAAGGATGAAATTGTTTTTAATTGTTTTTTTTATTTTTCTTTCTTTTTTCTTTTTTTCCTTTTCCTTTCTCACATTTATGTACGTGTTGTTTGTCTATTTTTATTGGAAAATTTATAAAGTTTATTTAAATAATAATAATTGCAGCCCAAAGATCACCTGAGCTGCAATGGGGGAGATGTTCCATATCTCCAGAGCACCTGCCCCACTGCCAGACTGCCAGCACCCCCTTCGTCAATGGTTGCACTGCCCTGCATGAGTTCCATGGTGGCCCTGTAGTGGAATGAAGGAAGCAGGGGGAGATCACCCCTTCCTCCTTTGCATCCCAAAGCCAGGCTCCCCTTCCCCAATGGTTCTGCAAAGTCCACAAAGTTTTGCATGGAGAAGCAGATCGCTTCCCACAGGATGGCCTCAGCATTCACTTTGGATGGTGAACAGTAGAGCTTTGCTCTTTTTCTCTATTGCCTTTGAAATTACTCCCCACTTTCACTTTTTGCTTTAAAATTCTGGGCTCTGGCAGTAGGGTCGCTTCATCCTTTTCCTAGGAGTGTCTTGCCAGCATCCTTTTGATGGCCTTCCCATCTCCTCTAACAGTTCCCAGGGAGGGAGACAGAGAAAAAATCAAAAGGGTACCTGGACTCATGGCATTTTGTTTTGATTTGTATGCCATGATCCATGAGAGACCTTTGGTGAGGTAGGTGAGCCCATAATTCTTAGCTGCTGGATGGAGGGCTAGGGTAAGCCTTCCTTTGGGACAGCCATTCTCTTTTAGTCCAAGGGATTTTTCCTATATATTTACCTGTATTATTATTTCCTTCATAAATTAAGAACTTGAAAATGATTTATCTATCAGCCTTAAATGATGGATAGGGGATGGTGATGGTGATGATGATGATGATGATGATATATGCATACATAGAAAGAGTTCTGGACTAGGAACAGAGAGATGAAAGTTCTATTTCTCTTTTATGCATGGTCAGCCAGATGGATGACTCTGGATCTCTTGCTTTCTCTCAGCCCTAGATTGAAGAAAGTCATAAAAATTTCTCTATTACTCAGTATTGGATCAGCATGATAGTTAATGGTCCTTAAACCTTAATGAAGAGATCACACATATATAGACACAAACACACTTAATGTGATGATGTGCATGGACTAATAATGATTACTATTCTACTAGTTATTCTACTAAAATCTAGTTAATCTACTAGATTCTAGCCCAGATTTTCAGACTCAGTTGCGAATGTCAAATATTTGTTCAGATGTGTATTCATGAAAATTAACATCATGGATCTTTGCTCTGAACCTGATGAAAAACTACTACTCCATCTATTTCAATTTGATTCACCTTTGGACAAAATTTCCAAAGGTCTAAGGTTATAGGGCAAGAGAGAAAACAGTTTACTTTACTTTTTTGAAGTGTGATAAGCCAAAAGTCTATTTATCCATGTTCTGGAAAAAAAAATGCAGACATTTCTTGAGGCAATACTTGTCTTTAACAAACAAAATGGGCAAATATTTTATTACTGTAATTATTAACAAGTGTTCTCCTTTTGACCTTCCCATGGGTACAGGATAAGGTGGGTGGTGATCCAGGGTGATATACTATAAAAGTTCCATCTGTCCATGTGTTCTTCCTACCTTGTCCTCTCTAGCCCCAAAACAATTTGGAAACATGAAGTGGGTAATATTCCTTCCTTTGCTTTGCTTGGTAAGCTTTGCTGAATTGAAAAACATACCCCGAAGATATCGGCATGTTGGTATGATATTATCTATTTCTCATTCTCTCTTTTTTTTTAAAAAAAAAATGTTTTCATGTCTTCATTTGATTGCTCAGATTTGTATTGAATTCATACTGCTACTTTGGAAACACAGAGGAAAAGTTTATGGGAATTGCATGTTACATCAATTGAGTTTCCAAACTATCCCCTAGTTTCTATTCAAACTGTATAAATCTTTTATATTTTCGATTGGATTTTTATCCCAAGAATTTCCCAATGAATCATGTTTGCTTTATTATTATTGTCTATAAAAGATAGATTTTGACGATTATGGTTTATGTATATTATATGCTTTGTCTATATTATTGTTTATACATTTGATAGAATTTGATGGTTATGGTGAGCAATATTAGACAGTAAGACATTCCCCACAATAATTCCAAAACGGTATTTATGTGCCTACTGATCTTTAATGTCTAAATATTTTCTATGCCCCAAGTCATAGCATTCTCTATTCCAGATCCTGACATATCTTACAAGAAAAGTATAATGCTATAAATTTTTACTAGATATTACTAAGATATTCTTGTTCAGTTGATTTTTGTTAACCTCAAAATATTTCAAAATGCTAAGCAGAGTCATATCAAGTTAGTTGGAATATAGTGGACCACTAAGAAATATCAGACAGAAGGCATCTAAACAACTTGTGACAAGAAATGGTAAAATCAATTTATTTTATTGCCATGAAAACCATTTAGGATGTCTTCAAATAGTTCCTGGGAATTGCATTACGTGTATTATTTTCTTTTGTTTCATTATAAAGCAAATGAAATTTAAACATAGTTTTTGTAATTATTTTATTTATATTATTGGCCAAATTTGCAAAATTATTGGAGTATATTCTGAAGATTATAGGGCCTCCTCAGTCTTTGTAATATTTGAAATAATTTAGTAATCATGACTTTTTTAATAGTGAGTAAAATTCACTACTTTTTTTTACAGATGACCATCATTTCACCATCAGTCTTGCCTCTCAAATATCAGCTACTGATTTTGGTGCTGTGTAAGTATTCCAGAAAATTGTGCTATAAATTATACATCTAAATAATAAAAGATGCACAGAAATTGAAAATTATAGTGATGATTTGCAATAAAAAGTATAAAATAACCATAAAATGGCTATTATTCTTCCTGTGAAAAGAAATAAAATTCTTCATAATTCAGCATTTGTTTATATATCTAATTTTAACAGACTAAGGAGGAGACCTAGTGTAAATCTCATATCTCGGGATTTATTAGTTTCTTGTTTTTGCCTTCAGAAGGGAGAAAGTCTCTCTTGCTCTAGTCATTTCTTTCCTAATGTTGGAGAATCCTGAATATGAAACTTTCAAGATCAAAACAAGATGAATCTAGAGTCCAGGCACTTCCCAGAGCTTTATACATTTTCCACTTGCTTGTAGAATATGTTCCCAGTAAAAGAGAAAATTCATAACTCAGGCTGAATTGTGGACTCCTGGGTGCTCTGATGATTTTAGCCAGTTGGGCAATAAAATATCTGCAACCGAACGACCAAGTTCAGACTTCATTGTAGAATGTGTTGTTATTCACAAACTGTTTTCTTAATCACTTGTGCTTTTTTCTCTCAGTACCTTAATTTTAGTCACTCAAAGTATACCAAATGCCACACTTGAGGATGTGAAAAAAGTGTCAGCAGATGTTATAGCACTTCACCAGAAATGTGTTGCTGATGGATTTTCAGGGCCACAATGTGCAAAGCCTTTGGTAAGTGTTTGGAAGCTAAATTAGAGTACATATAGACATATAGATTAACTAAGTACTTACAAGATCCTAAATGAGTTAGTCAACAGAATCAAAATTTATTCTTCCAAACTTTCAGGTTTGAAGTGGAGCCCATCATCAGTATTTACGGTTCTGTTCAGCTAGAGCTTTTTGGCATATGTTTAAGGGTAAAATAAGTGTATTAGCTCCATTCCTAAGAAACCAATTTCCTTCAGATCAAAATCCTTGACATTTCTGTCTGTCCTTCAAGCTTCCAACCAGACTGCTATATCTGGCTTGCCATGTTAATGATACCTCCCCAAATTACTTATCCCTGCTCTCAGTTACATTTTATTAACTTGGGTTATTAGACAAGTTATAGCCGGCAGGTTCATACACTAATCTAAAAATCAAACCTAGCACAATTTGTGAACCAAATTATCATTTCTGAACTCCATTAGGATGCCCCCTTTTACTAGAAAACTTATGCAAACTTACTCAACAAATACTCAGAGCATCTTACTTACTTACTTACTGTTGTATCCTTTAACTCAGTGTTTCCCAACTTGAAAAGTCTGTGATCCAAAGACTTCAGCTTTCAGAATGCCCCAGCTAGCATGACCACTGCCAGCAATTCAGAGTGTTAGTCCTTATCTCTGGAAATTTACACAAACACACACACAAATATATTATCTGATTAGCCCTGTGGAGCAATAAAAGATGGGCAGAAACTTTTTTAAAAAACTTTTAAAACTTTTTTTTATTTCTAATTTCTTTTGATTTTTTTTTTTTGGAGGGGGGAAGTATAAGGTATACAAGCAGAAACTATCTGATCTCCCATATATGAATCTGGATCCCAATCTCATATCATCTGAGTTAAAGGAAATTTAATAGGATGTGGAACTAATTTCTCATTTTCCCCTAAGTAGTGCTTATTTAAGAGCCATATTTTTTTCCTGTTCTCTAGGGTATAGTTTTTCTGGATGTACTCTGCCATGATGAAGAGTTTTCCAACAAATATGGAATTAATGACTGTTGTGCTAAGGCTGATCCAGACAGAAATGAATGTGTTTTGCCCCATAAAATCTCATCTAGAGGAAGTATTCCTCCATTTGTTCATCCTTCTGCAGAACAAGCTTGCCAAGCATATGAGAATAACAAAGATGCTGTTCTAACTCAGTAAGTCAGTTGGCTGCAAGTTATAGCATAGAATCATTAATTCTTGTTTAAGTGAATGACAGTAATATAAAATTGCACATACTCTTTAATTTCATTTATCAAATGCAAACAACACATGATCTTTATTTATTGGTTTTAACAGGGCATTGCTGCTTACACTTTCATTCAACTATCCTTCACTTCTTCCAGATAGTCTCATACTTTCACATTCCAACAGCACACATCTGTTTATGCAGTGTAGCATAGTTAGATAATTTTGGAAATGTAAGAAAGAAAGGAATAATGATAAATAGTCATGCCTATTATTTCACATGTGAAACACAACATCAAAGTGAAAATAACAAGTACATATGCACAGACAGGCATATAAACTAAAATGAGGAGCTCCAACCATGTATCTTCTCAATAATAATAACATTTAAAAAAAACATGCTGGAATGCGAGCATAAACTCTCAGTGATCTCAGACATAACCTTGTTTCAGATCTTGTTGTTGCATAAGACTACTATTCTGCCCATCATCACTATTGGATACCAACTCTGAAATTCATCCTCATTAGGCTATTAGAGAACTGTGGTTTTGGTTAAGTTTAAAAAAACTCATCTGCCTTTTTTTTAATGTAACATAACTATTATTTTATCAGATTCTAAAGGGTACAGATACAGACTTTGAATATGAGTTGTATACAAGTATAGTAGCAATTGATCAAATTTCTCTGATCAAAATCTAGTGAGAGATGCATCTAAAATACATGCTGCTGAAATTTGAGTAATAAATTTAAGAAGAGAAAACTTTGAGAACTTTTTTTTAAAAAATCATTGATCTACATTATCCTACACTCAAATTTATTACTAGACAAAATGATGGGTTATATCTATTTTATTAAAATAAATTGTATTTTATTAAAACCAATGAATTTTAAGCAGATAGGCTGTGTATATTTTTGTTTTCTTGTCTAGGGATTTAATGTTTTTTTGCTCTTTCTAGAATTTTCTGTAATTTTTCCTAAATATTTCCCTTTCCATTGAAAACAATTTCAGAGCAAGAAATGAAAGAATTCTTTGGCAATTATATATATACATACATACATACATACATAC